AGGAAGTTACTTTGAAAAGTCACTTATTTCCTTGCTGTGTGATGGGAACATTCCAGATATTGAGGCCCCCAGAGACTAGTTCATAGCATCTGTCAGTTCCCAGTTATAATGTTAATAACAGTGATTATCAGGAAACCTTTTCTCTTTCACCCACGGAAACCTGCATTTAATCAAAAAATTAATCTTTTCTTTAAAAAAAATAAAAAATTTTGAAAATAGAAAATGTTACCTTTATTCAATGAGCATAATTATGTTCACCAATTCTTGGAGGAAGAGCAGAATCCTAGCCTAACACTATTCGTTGTACCTCAACAGTCAGATGGACTATTTCCAGGTCTTTGAATATGAGAGATATTAAAAGTTTTTCTTGTGAGCTTGGATTGTCAAAGAGAATCTCTTTGGAAAGTTGGCAAATACTTACTTTCCTGGCATGAGGATTGGTTTTTTTTTTTTTCCCCTCTTTTCCCCTCCACCCAAAGCTATGACAGGGTGGAGTATGCTTTCATGAAATTGCATGTTTCCAAAATAGAGCTCGCTGTTAATCTTACCACTGTTATAATCAAATTGCTAATAAAAAAGCAAAAATCAAGCATTTTAAAAATAGAATTTCAGCTCATATTGTCTAATTTAATTGTCATATCAAATAGAACTGTTATATTTTATTAAAGTGCCTTTTGAGCAAAAGTGTACCAACCAAACAATTTCCAAAGTGATCTGAATTTTGTTCTCTTTTCTGCCATCTTGCATAGTAATAGCCATGGTCTCATGTGGTTATAGCACCATATCATTTGGAGTCTGAGTGTCTCCCAGGAGAGACACAAGTTTCCTCAGCTCCTTGAATTTCTATTTCAGCACTAGCCTGCACCCTACCTCCATGACTGAGAATTCTGCTCATGTTCCTTGCTAGTGCATTATGATTCACTATTTCCTAGGATATACTGTATCTGTAATAGAACTTGGTGGTACATTATAGAAGTGATAGCTGTTGATGAAAGTTGGAAGCAGCAGATTAAGAAACTAGAACTATTGCCTTGCTGGATCCTGTGAATTGACTGGTTGGTGATTATTCCCAAAGAGATCCACTGATAAATAATCCTAGGTGATCATTTTCACCTCCAATGTGACATGTTTAAAAAGGCTGTAGCTTGGGCAGTTAATGCCAGGATCATACCTTTTGTTATGTTGCACTCCTTGTTGTTGTTTTTTTTTAATTATTTTTTGAGTTGGAGTCTCACTCAGTCGCCCAGGCTGGAGTGCAGTGGCCGCTCCCGGCCACCGCAGCCTCGACCTGCTGGGCTCCAGCGATCCTTCCGCTTCAGCCTTCCAAGTAGCTGGAACTACAGGCGTGTGCTATCACCCCCAGCTAATTTTTTTTTTTTTTTGGTAGCGATGAGGTCTCACCAAGTTGCCCAGGCAGGTCTCGAACCTGTGGGCTCAGGCAATCCACTCACTTCAGCCTCCCAAGGCATGGGATTACAGACTGAGCCACCGAGCCTGGCTCACTCCTTGGTTTTTAAACGTTGAACTCTTACAGAGTGCACTAAGGATACTGGTCAAAGATCCTTATGTGCATCCCTGTAAGGCAAAGACTGTGTTTTAGCTCCCTTCAGGTGCCCCTCAGCATCTAGCAGACTTATGCTCACAGGAAGTTCATGATAGCTATGGGATAAAATATTCTTCTGTCTCCCTGGCTTGTAGAGCAGCCAATAAGTCAAAAACACTCAAGAGGGGAAGGAATGAATGGTATGTAGAAGAGATTCAAACTTTGTACGGTTATAGGAATAGGTGAAATTGACCATCCTTTCCTACTTTGAGATTTTGCTTTCTGGGTTTGTTTCGTTCTCTTTTGTTTTGAGAATCCTATTCTACCTTTCTTCAGTCAGCTTTAATTACATTTCCTTCCTATCTTAGAATCTGCTTTTGGATTCTCTCAGGGTTCTTTTGTTTATGTTTTTGATATCTTTTAACTTTACTGAAGAAAGGCACAATGGGAACCTCTGGAAAAAGGATGAAGTTGACAGTTTTCCTTATCATTCTTTTGTTCTTACTCCCCTAGTTTTCAAAGTATGGTCTTCAGATTCTAAGTGACTTCTCTTCAAAGATGTGTCTGCTTTCACTGTGACCTCTTGGCACTTAACAGAGGTTTTGATAACTCAGGGACTCCCTTACTTCCTAGGTTCCTCCTATCTAAGAACTGACTGGGTTATAAGCATAAAAGTTCTTCCATAAAAAGCTCACAGGTGGTTCCTAAGGTCTCTTGAAGAGAAGGTTACCTCACATGAATCAGTGGAACTTTGACTGTTTCCTTGAGAACTGGGCCAGAGACATAAGAGGGGTACCAGAGGAAAACCAGGAACCAGACTGAGCCCAATGAAAGAAAGTGGCAGAAGGTACAGAGGGAAAGTGTTAAGAGTGTGAAGGATGGGTGAAGAACACATACAGGAAAGAGATATGTTGTGCTGCGTGGCATAAGAAATCTTCAGAGTCCATATTTTCCCTCCTATTTCAGATTATACTGCACCGTTTCTAGAACTGTGTGTCATTAGATTAATTTTTAAATATGAATCAGTTCTTTATTTCATATAAGGCTATAAAACCCTAAGCTTTGCTTTCAGTTGACAGGGTTTGCCCTTCTTGAAGCAAAAGTGCTAATGGGAAGCATTTTCACTGAGGCTCCCGGTTTGCTGGATGAATATGTGGAAACTTGTAGACTCACTCTCAACTCTTTATCCCCTTAGAGTGGGGGACAGGCAGGCAAACAGCAGACACCTAGAACACAGCAGTGTGTGGGACCACCTTTCTGTGACATCAGCTCACCTTGAGTGAAACTTTCAAAAATAGCCCTGAATGAGGAAGAAGGAGACTAGAAGATATTCATGTAGCATATTCTGCTGTAGTAATTCAGAATTCTTTAGTCTTGGATATTTTCATATACTCTTATAATGTTTCTTGGTGTAAATTGTTACTTCAAAAATGTTTTCATTTACTCTGATTCTCTTCTATGAACCCCTTTTCCTGTCATTATATATCATTACCAAAAACTCACACACACACCCTTTGATTTCACAGCATTTTAAAAGTGATCCTACCTACTGTTTCCTCCTTATTAGTTTGTGCACATTCGGAAACAACAGAACTGCCACTTTATCACCAGCAAAAGACTTTGAAGCACACGTTCTTACATGTAATCTCTGTTCCTATTTTTTGGGCCTGAGCTGATCAGAGGAATCATGGGTTCTAAGGATATGATGACTAGGTAAAGGCAGAGCAGTAGCCACTGAGCTCAGAGTGGTTAGTAGCCCCAGTTTGGACAAGTGGGCCCCAAAGTTTTCTGCATCCCAAAGTTTATCAAGGATTTGTCTGTGAAACTAGAGATACTTGTTATATATAGTCATGTGTCAAATGATGTGGGCAAGAAGTAAAATTATTGTATGAAAAGTGGAACCTGTAACATAATTTTTTTACAACTTCTCACATGAAAGAATGGGAGTGGAAAAAAAAGGTTGGTTTTCTATGCTATGTTAATTTTGACTAAAAAGGATTTTTCAGTAACTCCCAGTGACTGTCCTTCTGATTTGAGTATAGGTTTTTCCCACCAAGTAGTAACATGAACATTTGTATCCCACCCAGCAGAGCCAAGAGGAGAGAAGGAGTTGGGGACTCTACTGGAATGTGTGCAGAGCCCAGTTCCATTGGATTGATGTTTAATGATGCTCATGATACTATTAAGGACAGAGTCAGCAATAATTAGCTCTCATCACTGACTGCCTCTTTACAGGAGAGTTGGGCTTTGGGTTATTTCTGAGTTCCCCTGGTTGAGATGTCAAAGTTAAGTTAAAATAGAGAATGACGGTTACCAGGAACAAAAGGGTTGTTAGTATTTGCCAGGAATTAATGCCAGAAAAGTGTGACTGTTGTAGTGGTGACTGTGTGAAGAGTGTGGTCAAAGAAAGTAGAGTCTTGGGAAGCAAAACTCTTGAGTGAGAAGATTTCTAAATGTTTAAGTATTTCTAAGAGTGCTGTTTTATTTGCAAGGAAACAATATACTGTATTAGCTACTGAGAATGGTGGGCTAGTCTCAGACTTTTTTTTTTCTTGATTTGGAGTCTCACTTTGTCTTGTAGGCTGGAGTGCAGTGGCATGATCACGGCTTCAGCAGTCTCTATCTTCTTCTGGGCTCAGGTGATCCTTCCACCTCAGCCTCCCGAGCAGCTGGGACTACAGGAGTGTGCCACCATGCCCAGCTAATTTTTTATTTATTGTAGATACGAGGTCTTGTCATGTTGCCCAGGCTGGTCTTGAACTTCTGGGCTCAGGCAATCTCTCACCTCAGCCTCCCAAAGTGTTGGGATTACAGACGTCAGCCACCTTACCTGGTTTCATCTGAGACTTGATGTTGTGTTTGGCCGCATTTTATCCAACTGCACTTTGCTGGTCTGAGATGGTACTTCAGTTTGAAAAGTTGAGTCAGATTAGGTTTTCAGGAGGCATAGAGGTATAAGGAGAAGCCTGGCTCTGAGAAACTTTATTCTGTTTTTCAGCAGAGTTCCAAATTATTTGGCCTATTTGTGATCTTCCCTACCAAACGTTTTAGTTAAAAGATGATACGTTTCTAGAACTTATTCAGGAATACGTACTGTTACATGTAGCTTTGACAGTCACGTTGTTGTGGGTTTCTAAGTGTGGAAAAGCATTTTTGTTCTTGGTCTCTGTTATGAAGAGCTGGTTCTTATCAGTAGTTCATCCTGCTGACCCACAAATAAGTGACTTGATGAGAATGCTTTCGAGCTCAGAGGGAACAGGATGTGGCACCTGCTACATCAAACAAAAGTAAATACAGGCAGCGGTCACTTTCCATCTTTTATAGAAATGACCTTTATCAACATCACCTGCATATCCTGCTGTGTACATAAGGTTTTACATCTAGAGACACTGTGTTGTGGGAATATATTCCAAGTATGTGTTTTTAAGGTTGTTTGTTCCTCTGTTCCCATGAACAGATATCAGTATTACCTGCAAGTCAAAAAAGATGTCCTGGAAGGGCGCCTACGGTGTACATTGGAGCAGGTGATACGACTAGCTGGCTTAGCTGTACAAGGTAAGATGTGGTTATGACTAGCATGTGAAATTCTGTTTTCTGTTTAATGGTGGTATTGCTGGCTTCTCAGAGTGAAAAGTTAGGTTTACCTAAATGATCTCTTAGTAATGTTCCCTTTTCATTTCAAGGTGTCTCACATTAAAAATTCAAAGTTAGGCCTGGCATGGTGGCTCATGCCTATAGTTCTAGCACTTTGGGAGGCCAAAGCAGGAATATTGCTTGAGGGTGGGAGTTTGAGACCAGCATGGACGACAAAGCAAGACCCGCATCTCTGCAAAAAACAAAAATAAATAGAAAAATTAGTTGAGAGTGGTGGCATGTGCCTGTGGTCCCACATGAGAATTACTTGAGACCAAAAGTTCAAAGCTGCGTGAGCCTTCCATAATCATGCTATTGCACTTCAGCCTGGGTGACAGAGTGAAACCCCATCTCAAAAAAAAAAAAAAGAAAACAAAAATCCAAAGTTAGTTACTTTTTGTGACAGGGTGACAGGTTTCTCAAAAGCTGCTTGCAAACTGCTCATACTTGTATAGCTACAGTTTTATTTGAAGAAATAGCAACTTCTATCCTATCTTTAATTAAGACTACATTTCAAAGTTTGTGGAACATTTTTCTCAGAATTATTCCACTGTACAATGTGGTCATCTTCTGTGGCTTGATGCTTTGAAATGTTACTGTCACAACATCTTTGTGATAGCTTTAAATATTATAATATAATTTATTCTAATATAGTTAAAGAGATAAATTTAAAATCTATGATTATGATATAAAAAAATGTATATTGCAGTAACATTATCTTTCAACCTATTCTGTGTAGAGACAGCCATTTTTTTTTTTTTTTGAGTTGGAGTCTCACTCCATCACCCAGGCTGGAGTACAGTCGCACACTCACCGCCACCCCAGCGTTGATCTGCTAGGCTCTGGCAATCCTTCTGCCTAAACCTTCTGAGTAGCCAGAACTACAGCCGTGCACTACAACACCCAGCTAATTTTTTATTTATTGTGGAGACGAGATCTCACCAAGTTCCCTGGTCTGGTCTCGAACCGCTAGCTCAGGCAATCCACTTGCCTTGGCCTCCCAAAGTGCTGGGATTACAGGCTGAACCACAGAGCCCTGACTAGACAGCCATTTTTTTTTTACCTTCTCTAAACTGTTGTATGTGGGTGTTTTTATGTATACTTTATACATTACTATTTATTGAGTGGTGGCTTCACTGCCTTTAGTTGTATTGAAATCAAGAAGATGGCAATATAATTTTTGAAAAGAAACTTTTCCACTCAGTCATTATTTTCTAGAAAATCAACTACTGTCCAAGTGTAAGTCTGCCAGTAGCTGAGTTCTTGCTGCATGGACTATTGTTTTAAGACTGTGAACTGACTTCGCATCCTAAACTTTGGACTGAAGTTGAACGTTTTTAGTTGTAAATGTCTGAATAGACAGCCTTCCTTTGACCTCCCTCAACCTGGGATATTAGCAGTTTAGTGGTTTCTGTTAGAAGTGTAATTCCTGTACAGTTAGCTCCTTTTGTTAGTCTGTGGATGGAAATAGGCAAAATCTGATGTATCACGTCTGTCTGTTAAAAGACTAGAAGGGGAAGAAACCAATGGCAAGTCAGGATAGAAAAATCAGTGGTAGCATTATTGAGATAAGAAGATCCTAGTCGGGCTTGGTGGCTCAGCCTGTAATCCCGTGCTTTGGGAGGCTGAGGTGAGTGATTTACCTGAGCCCGCGGGTTTGAGACCTGCCTGGGCAACTTGGTGAGACCTCATCTCTACAACAAATCAAAAAATTAGCCAGGTATGGTAGGGCGCGCCTGTAGTTCCAGCTACTTGGAAGCCTGAGGCAGAAGGATCGCTGGAGCCCAGCAGGTCGAGGCTGCGGTGGCCGGGAGCAGCCACTGCACTCCAGTCTGCGTGACAGAGTGAGACTCCAACTCAAAAAAAAAAGAAGAAGATCCACTATGCCCCTCATCTTCAAACTGGGTCTTTCTCCTTTTAAAAAATCTTTCTTGGTTCGAGACCCACCTGGGCAACTCGGTGAGACATCATCTCTACAATAAATAAAAAATAAAATAAAATAAAAACCTTCTTTGTACACTGTTTTTTGTTTGTTTGTTTGTTTTGGTTTATTTTTTGGTTTTTTGAGTCGGCATCTCACTCTGTTGCCCAGGCTAGAGTGCAGTGGCATGTTCACAACTCACCACAGCTTTGATCACCTAGGCTCAGAGCAGTCCTTCTGCCTCACTCCCCTGAGTAGTTGGGAATTTGGGTGCAGTGGCTCATGCCTGTAATCCCAGCACTTTGGAAGGACTGGATATTGGAGGACCCTTGAGAAAGTTAGTGAATTTTTCATTTATGTAAGCTATTCAGTCTGATGAAATCTCTATAATATTGCTAAAAGAATTTGTTGAGAACCTTTATTGTGTCATTAGGAAGATGTATCATATAAGTTGTGAAAGAATGTGATAACTAATTATTGAACTTGAACATAGGATGAGTGATTTTTCTGTTCTTGAATGCTGCACCTAATTGGTTATTAGTTAATGTGCCATTTCTGTAGGTCGATATTTACCTTCTCAGCATCTTCTTAACATTGGTGTGTGTGTGTGTGTGTGTGTGTGTGTGTGTGTGTGTGTGTGTCTCCTCTCATTCAATATCTATCATTATCGTAAAGATACCCAAATCCATTTTTATCTGATGCTAACTCTTTTTAACATGAAATAAAAATTTCATGCATGTTTAGTGTTTATGAGAGCAAGTGAGATAAGCATGGTATTTATATATTTGTGACATAGGCTTTTTGTATTCATTTTGCATGTGCTCAAACCATACCACTGTGAGATGAAAACAGGACAAAACAGAATTTTTGGCATCTTGTAACATGTGAAGTTGTTTAGGAGGTGCAAAGATTTTCAAGGTTGCTTGCCAAGGGTGATTTACAGTGGGAATTTCCAGCTGCAAATATATGAAAAGATGCAGATGGGGTTGGCTTTTCAGTTCTCCAAATTAACCTTGAGTTAAAAAGTTACCTTGGCAGATACTTTCAAGATATGAATTGATACATATTTAAGAAACAGATAAATATAGTTTTATGTAAACATATTTAAATAGCTTTTGAGAATCACTTTCAAATTTCCCTATTCTTTCTAAAACATTGTGTGATGGTACTTACATGCTGATATTTATAGAATTGCTAGTTAAAAGTGACACAAACACAATGGGCACTATTTTTATATAATAATAGTGCAGAAATAGGATGAAATGGGAAGATTAAAGATTAATCGTGATGTTTACCTCTTTTAGTCTGTCTTTGATTTCATATAATAAATACTGCCCCTCCCTCCTTCTTTTCTTCTCAGCTGATTTTGGAGATTATCATCAGTTCGATTCTCAAGATTTCCTCAGAGAGTATGTGCTATTTCCTATGGTAAGTGTAATTTTCTTAATTAATTTTCTACCTCCTTTGGACATTTAGTTCTTCCCTTTGAAAATCTCAGAGGATTTTACACATGCGTATTTCCTGGGGGAAAAAGTGCATACATTTATAAAATAGGAACAGGTTTTATAAAACATGCTAAGAAAGTAAAAATGCCTCCTTCTGCCTTAAGACATCTCCCTGGTTTGTTTTTCAGATAGTTCCTTGTTAGTACAAAGAAATGCTACTGATTTTTGTATGTTAATTTTGTGACCTACAACTTTACTGAATTCATTCATCAGTTCTCACAGTTGTTAGTGGAGCCTAGTAGGGTTTTCTGTATTTAAGGTCATGTTATCACCAAACAGAGACAATTTCATTTCCTCCTTTCCTATTTAGATGCTTTTTAGTTCATTTTCTTGCCTAATTGTTATGGCTACGATTTCCAGTACTATGTTTAATAGCAGTAGTTAGAGTGGGCAGAAAACAATAGTACAAAAAAAGTAAATAAAATACTTAAGAGTAAATTTAACCAAGGAGGCATAAGTTCTATATACTGAGAACTATAAAACATTGATGGAAAAAACTGAAGATGACACAAATAGAAAGATACCCCATGTTAACGGATTAGTAGAATCAATGTTGTTAAAATGTCTATTCAGAGCAATCTAAATTTAGCGCATTCCTTATCAAAAGTCCAATGTCATTCTTCACAGAAATAGAAAAAAAAACAGTTCTAAAATTCATATTAGGCCAGTCATGGTGGCTTACACCTATGATCCCAGCACTTTGGGAGCCAGGACAGGAGGATTGCTTGAGACCAGGAGGTTCGAGACCAGCCTAGGCAACATAACAAGACCCCATCTCTACCCCCAAAAAACAGTAAAAAAAAAAGTTAGGTGTGATGGCATGTGCCTGTAGTCCTATATGTTCGGAGGCTGAGGCAGAAGGATTGCCTGAGCCTAGGATATCAAGGCTAAATTGAGCCATGATCATGCCACTGCACTTCAGCTCGGGTGACAGAGTGAGAACCCAACCACCCTCCAAAGAAAAGTTTATATGGGGCCATTAAAGATACCAATAGCCAAAACAATCTTGAACAAAAAGAATGAAGCTGTAAGTACTACACTACCTGATTTCAAGCTATGTTTTAAAGCTATAATAATTAAAACCGCAAAAAAAAGTAGACATATCAACCAAGGGAACTGAATAAAGAACCCAGAAATAAATCCACACATCTGTGGTCAACTGATTTTTGACAGAGGAGTCAAGAACACAGAATGGGGAAAGAGCTGTATCTTTAATAAATGATGTTGGGGAAACTGGCTGTCCATATGCAGAGGAATGAAACCTTTCATACAAGAATCAATTCAAAATGGAGTAAAGTCTTAAATGTAAGATTAGAAACTGTTAAACTACTAGAAAAAAAAATATGGTAAAAGTTATATGACATTGATCTGGGTGACAATTTCCTGCATGTGACCCCCAGAAACACAAGCAACAAAAGGAAAAAGAGACGAATGGAATTGCATCAAACTGAAAAGCTTCTACACAGCAAAGGGTGCTTCAGAGATGAAGCGACAACCCACAGATTGAGAGAAAATATTTGCAAATCATGTATCAGATAAAAGGCTCAAAATATATAAGGAGCTCAAACTGCACAATAACAAGAAAACAAATAACTTTATTTTAAAATGGACAAAGAACCTGAATATTTATAAAAAGAAGACATACATAGGGCCAACAGAGACATGAAAAATGCTCAACATCACTATTCATCAAAGCAGTGGAAATTAAAATCACAATGAGATATCACCTCTCACCTGTCAGAATGGAGATTATAAAAAAAAAAGAAAGATAACAAGGATTGTTGAGGATGTGGAGAAAAGGGAATAGTGTATGCTATTAGTGGAAACATAGATTAATATAACAGTTATGGAAAACAATATGGAGGGTTCTCAGAGAACTAAAAACAGGATTATCTAGATAAGATCCAGCAATCCCACTTCTGAGCATATATCATATATCCAAATGAGTTGAAATCAGTATGTCAAAGAGATGGCTGCACCCCTCTGTTCATTGCCACATTATTTGCCACAGCCAAGATATAGAATCAACCTAAGTGCCCATCAACAAATGAATGGATTTTTTAAAATGTGGTATATATACATAATGGAATACTATTTAGCCTTAAAACTACAAAAATCTTTCATTTGCAATAGTATGGATGTACCTGGAGGACATTATGCTAAGTGAAATAAACCAGGCACAGAAAGACAAATATGGCACAATCTGACTTGTATGGGGGGACCCAAAAAACCCCAGCATTTATTTATAAAAAGTGGTGTATCTATTATTACATGTTTAAACTTCAGTCACCTTTAAAGTACTCTCCATTTGATGCAGTACACCTATCACTCATTACACCCCAGTGTGTGGTGCTCTTCCTTTCTGAACATACTGAGCTTTTCCCACCCCAGAGTCTTTGTACTTGGGTATTCTCTGCCTAGCAGGCTTTGTCCCAAATCTTTGTGTCATTCAGGTCTCGATTCAACTATCACCTCCTCAGAGAGTCCTTCCTTTTCCTTGAACACCTATGTCATACACTCTAACCATCAAGCACTTCCTGTTAAATCACCTTTTGTGTGTGTACTTTGATGTCTGAAATTGTTCATGTGTGTGGATGTATGTGTATGTATGTATTGTCACCAAGAACAAGAACATGAGCTCTGTGGTCCTTAAGCAGGGGCCCTGTCTTGTCTGCTTTGCCTGGCACATAGTCTGTACTCATAAAAATCTTAGTATGAATCAAGAAAGTGCCCATTCCTGGGTTGAAGTGGGAATGAGGCTAGGTTTTAACTCCTGGGAAATTTTTGTTTGTAGGTTGATTGGTAGCTTTAGGGTGAATGAGAAGAGTTTTCATGAGGAACAAACAAAACATTTTACAAACCATTTTAGGGAGCAGCTACAACCAGTCAACATTCTGACTGGTTTTAGAAAGCACAATCATTCCTCATTCATTTTTTTGATCAATTGTTTTGCCCCAAGCACTGACCTTGGTAACTAAACCCAGGGGATGAAGTTACAGAAGAAATGGTGCTTGTTTTCAAGGAGATTCCAGGGTGGTTGGGGCAAATAGGAAGTGTACAAAGGCAGAATGCAGAGACAATTGTAATAAAGTATGTTCGGGATTTCTGTGTGGGGAGAGGTCATGTGTGATTAGGAATGGTGGAGAGAATAATGAAGTGTAAGCCTTATCTTAAAGGACAGGCAGGATTATAATAGAGAGGAAGGGATCAAGGAGTGATCTAGACAGAGAGAGAAGGAGCAGAGGTGAGGTGGTCTGGGTATTTAGCAAAGTATCAACTGGTTGGCTTGATTGTAGCTACGGGAGGGGGATCATGGCAGATGAGACTGAAAACTTCCAAGGGGTTTGAATGCTTGGGCTCCTTCTAGGGTTCTGCAGACTTGACCATTAGTGGGAGGATGTCAGCTGGGAATCTGTTGTAGTGGTCTGGGCAAGTGATTTTATTTAGGTATTAGCAGTGAGATTAAAAACAGGAAAGCAGCCAGGCTCGGTGGCTCAGCCTGTAATCCCACGCCTTGGGAGGCTGAGGTGAGTGGATTGCCTAAGCCCGCGGGTTTGAGACCTGCCTGGGCAACTTGGTGAGACCTTATCTCTACAATAAATCAAGAAAAATTAGCCGGGTGTGGCCGCGCGCCTGTAGTTCCAGCTACTTGGAAGGCTGAGGCGGAAGGATTGCCGGAGCCCAGCAGGTCGAGGCTGCGGTGGCCAGGAGCGGCACTGCCCGTCTGGGCGACAGAGTAAGACTCCAACTCAAAAAAAAAAAAACAAGAAAGCAAAGCAAGACATATTTTGAAAGTAAAATAGGCAAAACCTGGCATCTTGTCAGCAGTGGCATATGGAAGAAAGTGAATTATCTGGTGCCAAAGTTTTCAGTTTTGAGAGACTAGGATAAGTCAGGCTGGAGCTATCCATATTAGTGTGTGAGATGAATCTAAATTGATCCAAAGCTTACCTTGTCCTTACAGGTTAGGGAAACACGGAAGGTCTCTAATGTCTCGTGACTAACTCTATCCTTATTTTTTTCCCTCCAAGAAAATAGCATTATCTGCTCTGCTTGCTGTTTTGATACCTTATTAATTCTACCCATTAAATCAAATTCCAAAGAGATTAGCATATTACTTAGCAGAGAAGTTTTTCCTAGGGCTTAGTGTCAATATGCTTGAATCAACATCTCTAATTTCTCAGGAGCTCACTCCAAAAGTCAGGGTGTTTTCCATTGTGCTTGAGGGGGAGAAAAGTGAAGCTCAAACCTTAGGATTTTAGAGAGTATGCATTTTTGTGTCAAATGGGGTACTTGATAATGGAAGGTTGACAATTTTCCAAACTTTTTTCCACCTTACTCTCATTAAAGGACTTTATCACGTTGCCTTTAGTTCTGATCTGGGTTTTGGAGGTTTTTTCCTGAGACAGGGTCTCACTCTGTCACACAGACTAGAGTGTGTGTGCATGATCATGGCTCACCACAGCGTCCAACTTCTGGGCTCAGACAGTCCTCCTACCTCAGCCTCCCAAGTAGCTGGGTCCACCACATTTGGCTAATTATTTTAATTATTTTTTTGTAGAGACGAGGTCTTGCTATGTTTCTCAGGCTAGTCTTGAATTCCTGGGCTCATACAGTCCTCCACCTTGGCCTCCCAAAGTTCTGGGGTTATAGGCATGAGCCATCACACCCAGCCCACATTGTATTTAGGAAGAGACCGGGTTTGGGTCCTCTACAGAGTTTTCAAAGGTGCTTATATAGGCATGATATTTGTGAGTTTGTAGAGGGTAAATGCTGTGACAGTTTAAAGTGCTGTAAAGCAGTAAAGGAATTATTTTGTACATCATATCACTTTCAGAATGAGACATGTTTCAACTGGGCTCCAGGCAGATCAGGCGCTTACACAGCATAGACTTCATAAATCTCACCATTGGACAGACACATATTGACATTGTTATTCTTGGATCTAAAATTGCTCTCTTCAGGAAGGTAGCCGCTAGCTATGTGTGGATATTTACATTCAAATATAAATTAATTAAAGTTAAATAAAATTAAAAATTCAGTTCCTCGGGTGCATTGGCTATATTTTTAGTCCCCAGTAGCCACATGTGTCCTAGTACCTACTGTGTTGGAAAGTTCAGATATAGAATATTTCCACCATCCCAGAAAGTCCTGTGGGACAGAGCTAAAGAGATGTGACAGAAGCTGCTTGTTGTCAGTGTGTATTTGAGTTGTGAATATCCCTATGCTTCTGCCATCATTCATCTTCTTTCATCCCCCTGCCCCTGCCACTTTGTATCCTGGGTACACCGTGGCCTGTGGTTGGAAATTTCACAGCTCTGTTGCTGAGTGGTGGTGTGCCCCTGTCCCTGCTGTGACCCTTATTGGCTATGTGACCTTGGCAAGTTATTTAACCTCTGTTTTCTCACCTACCAATGAGGATAACAAGCCTAATCCCTTTGTGAGCCTTAGAGATAATAATGAACTGAAGTGGCCAACTTGCCACGTGGTACATTCTCAGTAATAACTTTATCTAGTTGTTTTATTATTACTGTTATTAGCATTATGATTGTCTTCGTGTTAGGAAAACATGAGGATGTTGAAGGGTATGCTTTCCAGGTGACGTCTCTCTATGCGTTTTGAAGTTGAAGCAGACAGAGTATAGGCAGAAGGTACAAATGATTGTTAACCAGCTTTGCATAATAAAAACTTTGCTTGACAATGTGAAATGTACACATTGTATAGAGTGCAGTTCAAGAAACACTGATCTCTTACTCTATACTGAGAACTTACAAGCTGTCGTTGCATAGAAACTTTGTGATAATTTCCTTAAGTGATATGAAGGGGAATTTCTGCCCTTGAGATGCTATCTCAGAGGGAGGGAGTCAAGGATAAAGGATAAGATAGGTTTACTCATAACTGTATAAAAATGTAGCAGGCAGAATATGAGATGGGGTCTGAGACGCACACAGAGCGGCAGAGGCAGGTCAAGAGGAGGTAGGGTTTACATCCAGCCAAGGGGATAGGGACACCCTGTTGAGGGAAATGGTACTGAGACTGGACTAAAAGATGATGTGCCATTTCATACAGTGTGATGTGCCTGGGTGGTTCTTCCTGGAAGGGTAGGCAGAGCATGATTGGATATGTAAAAGCAATATGTGTCAAGAAGAGGAGTTTGCCTGAGGCCTTGAACCCATGGGTGAGGAGGTCTAGCAGGGAAGGCTGAGTCACACTGAAGAATGGTCTGAATGCCAGGCCCAGGTGTTGGCCTCACTGCGGAGGAGGCCATGGGGAGCCCGGGAAGGTTGTAAACTTTCTGCTTGGTTCCACTAGAGCTTTCAAAGGGAAGAATGCATTCCTTTGGTGGGGGAGGGAAAATTGGATGAATGGCTGTGTTTGATCTTATAAAGTAACCGAATTTGTTAAATGGCATTTCTTCAACAGAGAAAAGAACAAAGTCAAGTACTCAGGGTGCTCCACAGGTGTGTGGCTGTGTACAGGCATGCACTCTGCCATTTTTCATCTGCACAGGGCCACTCTCCTGTGTCTCTCTGGCAGGCACATACCTCTGGGAGGCCCCAGATGTGGATTGAGGCAGTTGAGTGGAGAACAATAGCAGAGGGGGTACCTTTGGACTTTTTTTTCTTTTTTAAAAGTAGGAAGCAGAGGTTTAATTGAACATTTTTTGATCTTCTTTTACCTTTAGTTTACTCCGTTGCCACATGCCTTTCATTAGCTTTTCAGAATTTATATCGGATTATTATTACTACTCAGCACCTAGATTCAGACATATAGCTAAGTTTCCAAGCCACGTGGTTCCTCTGTTACTTCATAACGTAAAACTGACAGTGTTGAGCTTATTTCCTTACATGCACTTAAGTCATTTCAGTGGCTGGCTGAACAGGAAACAGTGAATCAATCAGTTAACGTGTGATAAATATAAGCTGCTATAGTTCCATCAGTCTTCTCTGTGGTCTCTCATGAACCTGCAGTGCTATAGAATTTCTAGTATGTAGTTACCTACTCATTTTCCAATTAAAAAAAAATAATGATTTTCCACATTTCAATGACTTGAGATGAGGTGATTCTTATAGTTTTGAGGTGTACCTTTAAATGGGTAGTGTTTCCTTCATGAAAAGTTGCTAAATTGGAGATAAATCTTTATATATATGGTATTTTAGAATCAAGGGGATGAGGCACTTGGTATGATTTCTGCCAAAATATCATCTTCCAGTCCCTACCCAATAGGAGGAGCTTCAGGGTGTCCTCAGGAAGTCACAGCTCAGAGTGTCCTCTGAATCCCCTCTAGACTAGAGTAAAATGGTGCATACCTGTGCCCTTCTTGGTAAGCACCTGGAGTATGTGGAATCTGCTGCCTGGGAAACTAGAGGCAGCTGGCCCAGTGGCCTGAGCCTTCCCTTACCCCACCAGGCCACCACAGAGATGAGACAAGTTCTAGAATCACTGTATCTATCAACTTCTTAGGAACTGACTGCTTTGATCTCCTCATCTTGGATTTACTCCTCCAGACTCTATCTCACAAACCTAAAAGGTGCTTTGCTGGTTAATATTTAATTAGCCTGGATTTCCATGATGTAAATCCTCCCACCATGTTGTCACTGAAGGGGCACTGGAAGAGTTGTATGTAATCGGCGCTTCTGAACCCACGGGAGCCAGCACACTACTGAGCCTAGGAGCCTGGGATTCAGTTGGTAGATTCACTACCTGGTCGGCTCCATATCTATCACTTTATGCAGTTCTCTGGAGATGTTCTAACCAATTTGGCCTCCCTCGTCCACATGACCATCAAATAGCATCAGAATGAACCTGCTCTGCCTTCTTGTGATTTTGAATTCATTTCCTGGTATTGTGCAGATGAGAAGAAGACCTTCCACAGTCCCTTCCTAACCTCAACTTTTGAAGGGATGATGGCCTGAAAACTCATTGGCCTATGCCCTGATTGTTTAAAATGTATAAGTTACATGTAAAGCACTTAAAAAAAAAATCAAAGTACATCTGGGAGGCAAGCAGATAGGGAAGAAGGTAAATGAAAAAGGAACTATTCCCAAGCCCTATAGAATTCAGGTGGTAAACCAAAGTATACCTTGAAATAACCTAGGTTATGATGGAGAGCCGTGAACTCAGTCCTAAAATGTGTAGCCTTTAATCCTGCAGGAAGGAAGGAGAGATTGAAGAAGTAAGGCTTATCAGGAACATCTTCTGAAGAAAGGAACTTTTAAGGATTGCAAGCAAATGCCCACCCTCTTGTGACCTTAAGTGCTTTCTGTTCTTATAGGATTTGGCCCTGGAAGAGGCTGTTCTGGAGGAGCTGACCCAGAAGGTAGCCCAAGAACACAAAGCCCACAGGTAAGGCAGGCAGAGGGCAGGGAGCTGCCTGGCCAGCAGATACCCACTGTCCCTGGACTGGAGCCATTCATCTCCCTACACGCCACTCCAGGCTCGAGTCAACACAGTTGTGTTTCTTCCACTGTGTAACTCAGCTCTGTGCTTCTGTTCTGAGAAAAGTTTATGTGGACTTGAAAACTGTGCTGCTTTCCCTGCCTCCTTTCCTCTCTTTCTCAGAGAAACTTGGCACTCTGGGGTGGCCTGTGCTGAGAGTGAGGACCTAACATGTGTTGGGTGGGGCAAAGGTAAAGATCAAGAGGGAAAAGGAGAGAGACTTTAACGGAAGGAAGCACCAAGAGCTTATTAATATCATGACTCCTTGGAGCTGTTTTGGACCAGTAGAAAACAAGCATCCTTCCTGTCCAACCTCAGAAGCTATGCAGTGATATTATGCACTCTAATCATGGCCACTTCGATCCCAAAATATTTTCTTCATAATAAGCCTTTTCTTTTTCTTTTTTTTTTGAGTTGGCGTCTCACTCTGTCACTCAGAGACTGGAGTGCAGTGGCATGGCTCCCAGCCACTGCAGCCTCGACCTGCTGGGCTCTGGCAATCCTTCCACCTCCACCTTCCAAGTAGCCGGAACTACCTGCGCATGCTACCACGCCCGGCTAATTTTTGATTTATTGTAGAGACAAGGTCTCGCCAAGTTGCCCAGGCGGGTCTCGAATCCGCGGGCTCAGACAATCCACTCGCCTTGGCCTCCCAAAGTGCTGGGATTATAGGCTGAGTCACCGAGCCCCACCTCTTTTTTTCTTAAAAAAAAAAAAAAATTCGTGAAGATTTCTCCCAGATGGGAGAAAAATAACTTGTTTTAAAACAGGCAGCATTATTCACAAGGATGTCTAGAATAATTATTTTGTGTTTGCAAGGCTGTGGCTCTCAGTTAAATACTTTACCTTCCTCTTATTATTCCCCTGTTGAGTAAAAGGCTACTGGGGAAGATGTTAATGAATTACTTAGTAATGCACCATACCTTCACAGTTGGGTAGTGATTGCTCTTCCCAGAAACTAGAGCTAAAGCACAGCTCTGGAATTTGCCATCAGGAGGGTAGGATCTTCCACTGGCTGCCCTTAACCATTTCCTCCTTTGATACTACTTTGATTTTAGTGGAATCCTTCCTGCAGAAGCTGAGCTTATGTACATCAACGAAGTGGAACGTTTGGATGGATTTGGACAGGAAATCTTCCCCGTGAAGGTAACATGCTGTGCCCTCTCCTTGTTTTAGCTTTTTCAGTATGCCACAGGCATTTGGAAAACCAGTGTTGATAGCAGTGGACCAGAATGGCTTGGCCTTCTTATTGCTACATGACATTAGTCGGCAAGTCCAGTTTATTTGAGATAAGGCAAACACTTTTTCTTAACTAAGAGATTTTGAGGTTTTCTGTGGTCTTCAGTAGGATAGCTTATTTGTAAAACAGCCATCTAAGTGAGTACTGATCCCAGCCCATCTAGCATCTTGGAGGAATCATAGCTTGTATCCAGTCTCAGGACAAGTAGCTAATGTCACATGTGCATTAATCAAGACTCTAGCCAGTAGTTTCCTTCCCCATGCTTCTACTCTTTTCTTTTCATTGAGTCAACACAAGGATAATTGTGAGGTAGAATGAAACATTTCCTGTATGTGATCATATTTCATTTCTCCAGTTCTGTAGGGCTCTCCATTGTGAGTTTCCAGCCCCTTTGGTGTTTTGTGGAAACTCTGACTAGGAAGCTGTTATAGCACATCACATCCTTTGCAGCAAATCTACCTCCTGAAGTGGGTGTGGTTGGGGTGTCATGGTGCATAGTCGTTGATAGAGCTGAGCCCATAATCCAAACTCATTTTCCGCTCTCTGCTGACCAACTTTACAAAAAATGGGGTTTTATCAGAAAACTAAAGCAACTGGCACATTTCAGCAATTTGGGAGACGCCTGCAATTTCAGCACAAACATTTCACTCCAGACTGGCTCCACGGGCTGTTTTATAAGTGTTTGGTTCCCCCTCCATTGAGCGTTTGCAATTTGCCTTAATGAGAACTGCCCATGTGCATCAAGTAGAATCGAGCAGGGTGGCCGCAGCTTGCAAAAAGGGCTAAATGACTCTTTTTTAGATTTGTTTAATTTTCTTTTGCTTCTCTAATGGCTGCCCTTCATAGGGTTGTAATCCATTTTCCTTGCAATAATGCCTTATGAAGCCATCTGCATCCCACTTACATTTTTGCAGCCCATGTATAGTCATGATATTTTGGGTCATTGAAAAATCAGAGTAAACTTTTCTCTACTTCTGGAAAACTGACTTCTCAGTCCCTGGAAGTTGCGGGGTTTGTTGTGGTGATGATTTGCTTGTGTTGTTTTTAGTAATTCCGTACTATGTAAAATGGGCAGTTGAGGTAATGTTGAAATTCACTGTGCATAGTTCTGGTGCACTTTCTAGTATGTTCTTTTGTGGGATCAAGAAGGATATAATGCCTTCCTCCGAGTGGGAAGTCAGGCGCTGCTGAGTCATTGCCGGGCCGGTGCCACTGAGCTGGGCAGCTTCTTTTCCTCTCTTTATCCCCACATATCCATGCATGACTAAGTTTACCACCCCCAGACCACGTGATGCCTGGTGACCCAAGGATGAGAGTGGGAGTAATAGTACCAGTGGGGGCATGATATGGTCAGCTGTGCGAGGAGAGAAAAAGCAGATAGGAAAGTATGCAGGGAAAGACCATGAGTGGAGCTGGAGTCCCTGTTGGCCGGTGTAGGTCCTTATGGATCAAATAAAGTAACGAGCATGTCACGATATATCCTGGGAAGAACATTCCTGTTTAGTGTGGACTTTCCCATGGGTAGTTTACTCAAAAATTTTCAGCACCGGAAGAGTATCCGTCCACTTTCTGACAGGTCTGCCTTCCCCCACAAACAGGTGTGGCTACTGCCTGAGTCTCTCCTGTACGGGGGCAAGCATGTGGACATGGGGCAGGTGCTTATGAGATGGGGGAGACAGGCTGCAGTCCATTGCTAGGTTAGACTTAAGAGCCCGTAAGTTTTGACCAATGTGATGCCCCAGAGTGACTGCCTGGGGCAGCCCTGTGTGTTTTTTCCATTGACCCTCCCTGGTGAACAAGTTCTCCTGGATCCCATCACTGCAGATCTATTGGCAAAGTGTCCAGGGATCCAGGAAAGTCTTCCACAGAATTTTCCCTTCTCTCTCCATCTCCACTCCTTCTGTCTGCTTTTCCCATATTTAAATCCTATCCTTTTTCAGCTTCTCATAGTTCTTTCTCTCTCTCTTTTTTTTTTTTTTTGAGTTGGAGTCTCACTCTGTCACCCAGACTGGAGTGCAGTGGCACGACTCCCAGTCACTACAGCCTCCACCTGCTGGGCTCTGGTGATCCTTCCACCTCAGCCATCCAAGTAGCTGGAACTACAGGTGCACGCTACCACGCCCGGCTAATTTTTGATTTATTGTAGAGACAAGGTCTCACCAAGTTGCCCGGGCAGGTCTGGAACCCACAGGCTCAGGCAGTCCACTCACCTCGGCCTCCCAAAGCACTGGGATTACAGGTTGAGTCACCGAGCCCGGCAGAAGACTCTTATTCTCATGTAAGCTTTGGTGGGTGGGTTGAGAAGAGACCCTGTCTTCTTTGTGTCTTAAATGTGTCCCCTTCCAGGGGACGAAGAGATCTTTCTTTTCCTTCTTAGTCCTAGTTGTGCATGGTACCCCTCTCACTCCAGAAAAAGGATCTCCCCCCCCCCCCGTAAAAGCAGGACTTCATTTTGAGGCCTAATTGATAGTTTTGTGTACTAGATGTTGGGTCTTGTTGCCACTCCGTTCTCAGAACCCAGCAGCCGAGTTATGCTCTCCCAGGCAGGAGATTGGAAGCACCGGTCTGGACCAAGAGACTAGACTGGAGATAAGAGTAAGACATCCGAAATTCCCTAGCACAGGGCTCAGCAGATTGCCCAGCAGTGAATTCCGCAAGCCCCTCCTGTGCATACAGAGCTTTCCCATTCTTGAATGTGAACAGACAGCCAAGTATCACTTTATCCGTGCCCTAATATAAATGGCAGAGGCTAATGCCATGAGACAAAGTAGACTACAAGATGCAGAGACTGCACAGAGAAAAACCACCTGCTCAAAATATCATCTGATGAGTCTCAGAAAATTTTTTTTAAATGTTTGCTTCCCTTAAGGAATAGGGTGCTTATATAAAGGAGCATTTAGGAAATTGTTTAAATTCTCAGAAATTAAAAACATATCAGGCCAGGCTCTGTGGCTTAAGCCTGTAATCCCAGCAATTTGGGAGGTCGAGGTGAGGGGATTGCCTGAGCCCACGGGTTAGAGAACAGCCTGGGCAACTTGGCGAGACCTCATCTCTACAATAAATTAAAAAATTAATCAGGCGTGGTAGTGTGTGCCTGTAGTTCTGGCTACTTGGAAGGCTGAGGTAGAAGGATCACCCCAGCCCAGCAGGTTGAGGCTGTGGTGGCCATGAGCATGCCACTCACTGCATTCCAGCCTGGGCGATGGAGTGAGATTCCAACTCAAATATATATATGATATCAGAAATGGAAAACTTAATAGATGGGTTAGAAGAGAAAATTGAGAAAATCTTACCCAAAAAACAAAGTAATGGAAAGTGGGATACAGGAGATAAAAAAAACTTAAGAGGACCCGCTCGGGATGTCCAACATCTGAATAATGGGAGTTCTAAAAACAGTGAGCAGAGAAAACAGAAAACGGTAACAACTCGAGAAAATATCCCGAAACCAGAAAACAGTAACAACTCGAGAAAATATCCCCACACCAAGGAACACAAAGTTCTCCATTGAAAGGGCCAAGCATGGTGGCTGCAGAGACTTTTACTAGGGCTTTAAAGGTGAAAGTTGCTGCCTTTGGGGAGAGGAAATGGTGGGGCCAGATCTACTGTTGGCCTCCTTTATTTATGTATTTAATTTTTTTTTTTTTTTTTTTGAGTTGGAG